TCTTGCGACCACCAGTACACCTGGCGCTTCTGTTGCCTCGACCGGATCCGGGGCATCGCCACGTCACAGATCCTGGACATGGCGTCCTGGAGCCACTTGGCCTCATCGTCAACGTCGGCAGGCCTGACCGGTGGTATCACCCAGGCCTGCACGATGGCGGCTTCCAGGAGCAGCTCCCGGTCCAGCTGTTTCAGCGCCCAACGCGGGCCACATGGGGCCTGTCTGACCGGCGGGTCTGCGGACTCGGCGGAGACGTCGAACCGGATATACCGGTGGTCGGAGTACGTCTCCACCTCCTCCATGACGCGCCAGCCAACAATACGCGGTGACAGAGCAGGGCTGGCGAACGAGATGTCCACCACCGACTCGCCCTGCATCCGCACACACGTGGGGACAGAACCCCGGTTCAGGACGACTAGGCCTGTCTCAAGGGCCCAGTCTTCCACCATCCTACCCCGGACGTCGGTGAACCGGGAACCCCAAGCCAAGTTTTTGGCGTTGAAGTCCCCGAGGACGAGCACGGGGAGGGAACGGAACCCGACGACGACAGTGACCAACTCCCTCAAGGAGTTGTGGAACTCGGCGAGAGTTCGGTTCGGAGAGAAGTACACGCCCACCACAGCGAGCTCTCCGAACCGTGCTGCGACACAACCCCGGCCTCTTTGAGCAGCCTCAAGAGTCGGGGTACCGGCGGCGGCCGACGAGATGATGGTCACCGAGCCGTCCAGGTCCGCCACCCAGTGATCCCTGGGCAGGACAAAGTACGGCTCGGAGACCACGGCGACATTGATCGACCACTGCGCCATGCTCTGGAGCAGGAGATCCTGAGCAGCGGCGCAGCGGTTGATGTTCGCCTGGAGGAGGCGGAATGGGGCCATTATTGGCAGTCCATTCCGATCTCCTCAGTGGCGGCAGCGGCGACTGCGGTGGCAGTGGCGGCGGCGGCGGCGGAAACGGCAGGGGCGGCGGAGGGCCTACCTTTGCCCTTGGGTTTGGCGGGAGGGGAGCAGCCTTTGCTCCCGACCCGGTGATTGGCCGGCTTGCCAGCCGCCGCACATGCATTGCAGTGCAGCGGGGCGGAGCACGAGCCGGCCTTGTGACCGGGCCGACCGCAGCGGAAGCAACAGTCGCTGCGGTCCACCTCCGAGGTGCATTTGACACTCACGTGCTCCCCCACGTGACAGCGGTAGCACCTCAGAGGCCGGGTCTCGAGCAGCTTGACCTGCGCCGAGACCCATCCCACCAAGAGCCTTTTGCCCTCCTTCAGCTTCTTGGCCGCTGTGACGGGGCAGCTGACCACAACAGTGCGCAGCCCCGAGTTGTCCGGGCGGATGGCGCCTGCCTTAACTTGGTCAGCAGGGCACCCTCCCGTCCTGGCCACAGCGGCCACCACCTCACTCTCCGTTACGGAGTCGTCCAGGCCCAAGATCCTGACATCCAGGCATTTGGTTGGCCTGGACACGCGGGCCTCGTCCGCACCGAGGCACGCCCTAAGCCTCTCGGCCAGGGCGTCGGCCGATGGGCCGCTGGTCGCGCCGGGGACCTCCAAAAGACGGGCTCCGGTAGCGGTCACCTTGACCGCGAACCCGTCTGGCGCCCCGAACTCCGCAGGAGATACCGCCCCCTTCAATTTGGCGAGGACGTCGCCGTAAGTGACGCCCCTATTGACCGCCTCGGGCTGCAGCGTAATCACTACAGCCGCGGTCTTAGGGGCGAGGAGCAAGGCAGCAGCGCGTTTCTCCCTGCGCTGCTGCTGCCGTCGCTGCCGCTGCGCCTTCTTGCGGCGCTTCCGGCCCTCCCTGGCGACTCTCCTCGCCTCGCCGGCGATTTGCCACCCGCCGCCGTCCTCCGCTCGCGGGGCGGGTTCCACCACCGCTGCCGCAACTCCAGCCTGCCGGGCTGGAGCGCCTCTCCTCTCCTTGCGCCCTGCGGGCGCTGGCGCCGTCGGCGCAGCTGGGGTCTGCGCCGGCGGGGGCGCCGAGGCCCTCGCTGGGGCAGCCGGTCGCGCCCTTGCCGGCGGTTGGGAGCTGCGGCTAGCCTGACCCGAGGTCGAAGGCTTGGCCGCAGCGGCCGCGTACGACCGCGGGACCGCGGGGGCGACCTGACTCGCCGCGAGTGGGGGGCGCAAGAGCCTGCCCTCCAGCACGTCGAAACGTCGCTGGAAGGCAGCCAACTCCGCCCGCAGCAGTCCGACTACGTCGGCCTCCGCCGGGGCTGGGGGCGACTGCCGCGAGCAGCGGCGAGCTCGGCCCTGGCCGTCCGCGCTCGGCCCCTCCAAGCCGCATTGGAGGCTGCCAAGCGCCCAGCTCTCGCCGCATCTCGGCCAGCTCGGAGCGCACCTTTCCCGCATGGGCACCGCACACTGCTCCAAGGCCGCCTCCGTTATAGTGGCCGCCGCCGCCCTGAGGAGGCGGAGCCTAACCGGCTGGGATTCCCCATCGCCAGCTTGTAGAGCTCCGCCGTGATGGCCTGTTGGAGGCCCCCGGCAGCTCTCGCTCTCAGAGCCGCGCTCGCCCTCCGACATCTCCACGCCGGACATCTCGGCCGCAGAGGACTCCGACCGGGCAGCGCTTGAGAGAGCCCTGCCCTCCGCGGCCAGCTGCTCGGCTGACTCCGCGCAGGCAGCTGGTGCCGGTTTCCGGCGACCGCTGCCCTTGCCGCCCCTACCCCGCGCCGCCGTGGGGACCTTGGGCGGAGGCGCCTCCTGAGCGCCGGAGGACGGGGACAAACTGTCCTCCTCCAGCCTGGGGCGTTTGAACGTCCCCGTCGCGCGGCGTCGTGAGCCATTCGAGCTCACGCTCAGCCGCTCCGCCAATGTTGTGTCGGACTCTGAGTCCGACCCCCTTCGACTAGACTCCCGTGTGTGGGGCCTGCTGGACGAGTCCAGCGCCCCACCACGAGTCCCGGAGCCACTTGGGCTCCCTTCTCCTGCTACTGCAGGCGAGCCAAGCTCACCCGCACTCTCCTCCTCCGACAGTTGTGGTTTTGTTTTTGGTTTTTGTAATTTCTCCATACAGTTCCCACGAGTATGGGGGAAATATTCGGTCCACCCAGGCAGTGCCCCCTGTACCTGGGTAAGTGTTCGTTTTTTCCCAACTAGAGGTTCCACTGGTCCCCTAGCTGGGGGTGCGCTCGCGACTGACACTACTCCTCAGCCATGCATACTCTCGCCGCGCACCAGAACTTAGTATTGGAGGAATTTTTTATAGAGGTTATCTTCCTCGCGGTCCGGGCGACCAAGCCAAGACCCTCGTCCCGTTCAGAGTCACAAAACATGACCGTGATCTCCTTACGGATTACGATATCGACGGCTGCAATCGGGGACAGCTTGTGTCCCGATGCTGCTCGCTGGCAGGGTGAGTGCACAACGAGCACCGCCTTTGCCTCTCCGCCACGCTCTCTGCTATGTCCAGAGAGACGGGCGGAGAAACACCCCTCGGAAGCGCGGGCTATGAGCCTCCGTACACAGCCCGCCGCCTCCAGAACCCTATCGGGTTCGCCCGCCCAGTCCAGAAGTCTGCTGCGGGCGACAGTCACTCCAACCCTATCACCCCCGCTAGGGAGACTGTCGCCCGCACCCAGGGTGCACCACGGGGAGGTCTTCTGGCACCGCACCCCAATAATAATACTTAGCGTTTGATGCTGAAAGGTCATTAAAAACAATCAACTTTAATCATTCATCAATTGTGGGATATTGTATAACCAAAGCTTCTTTTATTTTGTGTTTTACATGTAATCACTTTAAAAACGTGTCCCATGATCTAATGATGTTTCACATTCACATCATTTATTCGATTTGAGATTGATTAAGATCTCCAAGCTCCAAGTAGAGCCAAGTATCTCTAAGTTCTATACGCCTTAACCCCACGAGTCCTAACTTCACGAACTCTACACCTTGGTCAAAACGCATTGCCTGTATATTAACCGGTGCATGCCTTTTTACCCTGATGGTGTAGGCAGAGTTGCGAAAATAATGCCTTATATACAATGTGTGCTTACTTTCCGTTAGTTGTGTTAGGCGTCTCATAGGGGGCACATTACCATGTACCGAGCAGGATTCCATATTCCGCACTATTGAGAAATTTTCTAAAAAATAAAAGAAAATCAATAATACTTTGCCGGGTCCGGGAATGGAACCCAAAACCCTTCGCTCGGCAGTCCCATTTGCACTTGCAGACCAATCGAGCAAGAGGCAGCTTCTCAGAATACCTGGTAGTAACTTATAATTTTAGTGATCATCAATGAGTTTTAAGATATCAATATTTGAGCTTTGTCTGGCTCTTCTTTCCGGGTGTGATTCCAAACCCTTAAACGTGGCTTATGAACCTTGTTATGGATAATTTTTATCCTACTTTCAATACTCTTCTATAAAAAATAAACGATTTCATAAAAGCTTTCTATGACCCATTGTATTTTTTTGGCTTACCATGCTGCTTGAACGGACCACCATGACCGCGGAAGTATCACCTATATAATACCAGTGTGACGATATAATATTCCTACGTTTCATTTGTAATCAACAGTTTAGGATGCCTATTTCATTACGTCATCGGTTTTATTGGGGAGGAGGGCTCCCAGAAAATGATGGTTAAATGTTTCCTCTATGGTTGGCAACGCATTTGTGATCTCTCTGGTATTGAAGGTGGCTACGGTAACCGTTTACCACTCTCGCTATTTTTTACTGTCGATAACCGAAATGAAGTTTGTACGAAAATTCGGCATAAATCTTCAATGATATTAAGCAAAAATTAACTTCTGACTTCAAATGCAGCAAGGTAGCAAAAAACGTACAATACTTACATAATATCTTGAAATTGTAGGGTTAAAATAAGTAGTACCTAGTATACCAACTAAGATAAGCTTCCGGGGGCGACTTAGATTCATCTGCTACTTCTTCTATCTTGCAACGATTTAAGATGATTCTCTGCTTTACGGAACCACCTGGTATCTCCATTAAAATCTCTCTTCAACCTGTAACCTAAATTAGATAATAAACTTACCTTGTACATGCTGTAGAGCTTGTAAGCTCTTTCTTGATCGTCCGGTAGAGGCTGGACTGACTCCATGCTGTCTCATCGGCTGCGAGGTCAGGCACTAAATCCAATACGTTGTTATGACGGTCCATTTACTGGTACAAACAGATTACAGTTCTCGCACTATAACTCCCGTCCCTGTCGTTTACAACTATTCCCATAACATTATTTTATTGTTAACGACCAATACGATAATTTACTCGTAAAGACCTTTAATAATAAAATCGTGATCGGTTAAATGCTTTAATTTAATTATGATAGAACATTACTTCGTGAACTGTGTGTTATTTCAATATAGCGGCTATTTTCTCACGGAATAACGAACTATTCAATACACTACGGAAATCGTAAATTTTATGCTACTTTTTATTAAATGTAAATATTAATAAATATAAAACTACCCTTAATTGCAAAAAAAACTGAACGTAGTTTTAAAATTAGACGTGTTTACTCTATAAATAGCTTGGATAGTTATTTCCTGGTTTCACTATAAATATATATACTTACCTAGCTTATTCCTCTTTAGTATACGTGTATATTCGCATATTTTCCGTACAATTTTATTATTAGATATTTAAAAAATGTAGTTATTGCGTACTAGTTAAAATGTAAATATTCAAACAAGATTTTCAGTGCCGACGGCTACCTTTGTGAACTTAACACTTAAGCAATTGTTTTAGATGTATAAATAAATTATAATATTTAAATATGTAATATGTTTGATTAGGGTCAACACGAGTAATCTAAGGAACCACAGTACCAAAACGACTTTGCCAGTTTGTTTGGAGCTGAAATACGATCTTTGATAACTTAAGACTTTGATTGACGTCTGTAAATATTTTTTATGCCCTTATAACACTATTATATAATTAACTATTACGTAATCTAAGTTTTAACTAACTTATTTTTAATTTATAGGTAAAAGTGCACTTAAGTAAAAAAGTGAGGATTACTTTAATAGCCGATACTTAATTAGAAGTGTTTTATCAATGAAGTGCGCGTAAAAAAGCGGGGTGTCGCCAGTAGGTGAGCGGAGGCCACGTGGCCGGCACGCGGGCCCGGCGCGGCGGGATACACTTGCGAATCCGCGAGGGAGCACCCGCCGGAAACCGAGGTGTACCGGGGCTCCTCGAGTACAGAGAAGTGGCGGCCCGCGGCGCGCCTGCCCCGCGCCCGCGCCCCTCGCACCCCCGCGCCACACACCCGCACATGCACTGACTCCGCAGCCTTCGTCTCCACACCACCACTCACCCCGCGCACTATGTTTGCCTTAATCGCGAATTAAGGTTCCAGTAATGTTTTCTGTTAAGCTTAGAGCTTAATTTGACGTCATTCATTAGAGATCCCGTTTGCGAAACAGACGAAGGGATTGCGGTACCTTCTCACTAAATGTATGTTCATGCCTATCTTTTAATGCAGGAAAATGTAAACTCTTCGTACATTTCTAACTGGTTTTCTGCAAATAGAATATGGCCCATAGTGAACCTATTATTTCAATGAAGTAATTATGAACGAAATTGGTTCTTTAATAGCATAACATTAAGGTCAGTTAAAAGTTCAAGGATCCCACAAGCGTGGTTGTTGCCGAACCACCTATTCGCATGTGTGTTTGTATGTTGGAATAAGATATGGCTTTTAAAATATTTTTATGCCTACTTCCCAAAAAACCTGTTATAATCTCTAAAAGTGTATGAACTAGTTTTGCGTCTGAATGATATTTGAGAACACGTTTGTTTTGACACGTTGTAGTAGAATATCGTCACGAAGTTCTTGAAACTAACGATCCATACGCGGGGTATCAGATGAGGCATAATAAAGAAGCAAAAATTTGTTACTGTCTATTTTTTTTCAGGTTGGAATCATATTGGTACTTAATTACTACCTTTTTTGTAAAAATAACCGTTTCTTATTATTTATTACGTTAATTATTTTTAGGATACAATATAATTATATAATAATTTATAGCAGCAGGCTTCAACTTAGATACCTATGTCGAAACAAATTATTTCATTTTTATTTACTTGTACGGATGTTTCGTCATCATTCCAGTAAGCCACATTGAGTAACAAACTTTCATTCAATCAAAATTCAGATATTAGATGTAGTAATCGAAATTTATTAAGATTTTCTTTTGGAGCATGAAAAGAATATTACCTAAGAAAGTAATGAAACGTTGCAAATGTTAGGAGCATTGTAGAAAATTAATTTCCCACGGGCATAAAGCACAAGTAATTGTAGTCTCATTAAGTATACATGTGTAGATAGACATACCTCCAGGTATTTTTGATATAAGGTATGGTGGGTTAATAGGTAAAGTTGTAAGTATCTACATGCTTTTGATTGTAAATGGTTAGGCTTATACTGCACGTTCACACACAATCTTGTAAAAAGATCACTGAAAATCTGCATGAAACTGAACATGTTCGGGTCTTTCGGGATTGAACTATAAATGATCATGATGACATTCCGAATACAGTTCTATCACAACACTTGAGTAAGTTTGCCTAGTTCGTGCTACGCGATCTTATATAAACTGTACTGAGTAAGACTATGAGTAATGAGATGGATGTTGCGTAAAATTGATCTTGTGTAATAATGAAATTGTGCTTTGTAGATCACTTCTGTCGAGAAGTCAGTAGATTCATTTTGACGTCGATTGTCCTACAGCTGGAAACGTAGTAGTAGTAGCGTTAAATTGTTGCTTAATCACGCTACAGAGTGGAACTAGTGTGTCCTGTCCTGTCTCCTACGCCAAAAAAACTTGTTCGTCGTAATGGCGGCGGTGCAGTGGGCTCGTGCCGAGTTGTTGCGGTAGATCACAGTGGTGTAGAGTAGGTCGGTCTATTTGTGGTGACAGGAGAGGCGTGGGTGCCGCGTGTACTGAGCTGGAGTGGCAATGACCTTGACACTAAGCGAGTGGCCTTGGGTAGCACGTGGCGGCTGACACCCGCTGTCTGTTGTCGGAACGCCGCCGCCGCCTTTCCCAGGGGAGCCTATTGTGGACATGCCCTGTAACAAATACCGTTATTTTCAACTGGATTTTAGTGCAGATTCACCATGTTTATACTAGTGCTATCCTTCATTTTCTAATTTAATTTTGTATAATTATTTAAAAATAAATTTAGTTTGGCTTATTAAAAAATTGCAACAATTTTTTTATTCAATGAAATTCCATTGATCTTATAGTGATTATCATAGTTCATTACATAATTTATAATAAAATTGCATAAAATATACTTAATTAAATAAAATAGAAATTTTCAATAAATCTACCAATAAATTAATGACTTAATTTATTAAGTATATTTCTAAATTTCGTGTAGTCAGTAAAACATTTATTGTTCTGCAGATATTTATTTTTAATTTATACTGTAAATGACAGAATGCCTTATCTGTTTGTGCAATTTTTGAAAATTCGCAAATAGGAAAATATAGGTGGTATATCCATAGTAAGATATCGTGTGAATGGGTGCGATTCAGAGCGTCGGCGACGTGCGGCAGCGTGTCGAGTGCGGTCGCCGCGGGGCGGCGGCGGCGGCGGCGGCGAGCGTTCAGTAGCCCCCGCCTGGCCGATACGTTTACGAGCCGACACTAACTTTAAGTGACCCCGCCCGCACTCGTGCGCCACAGCCTTGTTTATATCCCATCTCAATGAAAATAAAAGCGACGTCATTTCCTTGACTTTCCACAACACCACGAGGTTTGACGACATACACCAAGCTTTTTCAAAACAGTACAGCTCCACTACAATATATCTCGACAGGCATCCTGACCTAGGAACGAGTGTCAACACCTAAATAATTGAAACATACATACGAATCAGTCGTAGATTTTTGAGTAATCGGAGAATAATTATACTTATTTAGAACCGAATTATGGTAATACATAATCTATCTACTCATAAATTATCTATTATGTGCATTCTGTAGTATAAAACTGTCTACAGTTTATTTATTAACCATTTATTGGATTTAAATATAACTAATTATTTACACTCTTAAATCATGCATTCATGAATACCCACGTGTGTTGCCGTCGCTACGGCTACTGCAATAAAACGTGGAATAAGACAGTGTGAAACTCGATACATACACGGACAGGTTTCGTCATTGAATGACGAGCAAATATTCGACGGTGTAGTGGCATTTGTCGGAAAGAATGCAAAGGTAATGGACGAGGTAACAGTTGTCAAAGAATGCGTGTGACGTGACACGGCCTGTGTGCATGCGATGCCGGCACGCCGCACGCCGCGCCGCCATGCGCCGGCCGCTCCAAACATGAATGAACGAGCTAACTTGCTTTTTATCGCCATTTTCTCGCACCGAAAGTGACGGTTTAGCTTTAAGCACCTGTAATTTGCTTGTTTCAATTATGTCAATCATTTTGATTGACGACTCCAGTCAGGAAATTAGGTGTTAAGTATTTTGGTTATCTTAACGAAAAACTATTGTAATTTGATTGTGTATTATGATTTAGTTAATTAAATCTACTAACATTTTATATGTATTCATAGTTACTTACATTACTTACATAAGTTCGTATTAATGGTTGTAATATAAAATAGTTTGAGTCGATTCGTAACGACATTCATATTTTACAAAATAATCAATCGTAACTTGGAGTAACGCTAAATAACAATAAACTTGACTATTTAATACTCTTGGTTGAGAACATACAAGATATTAGCATCAGAAATTACCACTTAGCACGTTGTGACATCTTGTGAATTTAGACTCTACGCCGCTACGAAACTGCTACGCCGTAGCCGGTGGTCAGATATGGTGGTCACACGGTTTTCGTGTTATTTTTTATTCCATAAATATCTAAAAATGGTGTTATTACTTTTTATAATTAATATGATATACTTAAAACGTAATACCATAACTCTTACTCCTTAAAGAGGTAGACAGAAGCAGAGGATAGTAAATGTAACACCCACTTTTCATCATTTAGGTTTTGCGAGCTGTATAAAACGGGTCGAGCTCCATAAATACACAATATTCCAGATTTCCTGTTAATACTGACAATTTTAG